CCAATAAGAAACCTGCAGGTTATGAACATTTTCACTAGGAATAAGTATGACCTACTTGGTTTGAACTCTCTATGTCCTTATTTTAAGACCGTTTTCTGTACCAATGAGCTGGTGCACATCATTCACACATTTTCTTGAAGCCTTACAGACTAAAAAGCCACCTCCCCTCCATGTTGTAAGCATTCTCTTCCATATTTTCCCAATTTCCTCTTCTTATCATTCTGCGTCGGAACTTGTAAAACGTAGTAATGTCAGAAGTTTCCTGCCCAATATCGTTTCACACTTTTCAAATGTTGTGACCAATCAGTGCAAATCTGTAAATGATTGTTTGTCCCAAACCACAGACATATGTAGCAGTCAACAACTAGCCTATAAAGCTCACATAGCTCAAGTTTGAGTTTAATCATAGACTGCAAAAGATCTAAATGAGTTTAACATTTTCATTTTATTTCTCTTTCATCTCTATCTCTCTATCTCTCTCACTCTCTCCCTCCTTCTCTCCCTTCCTTTTGTTCCTCTTTCTCTCTCTCCCCTTCCCTTCTGTATTTCTTATTGTCCGTCTGTCTCTCCCTCTCTTCCCCCTCCTCTTCTTTATTCTTTCTCTCTCTCTCTCTCTCTCTCTCTCTCCCCGCCCCCCTTCCCTCTCTTCTTATTTCTCTCTCCCTCTGTCTCTCTCCCTCTCTCCTCAAATTTTGCAAGGGTTATGCTTGGTCATGCACTTACATGTATTACATTCAATAAGTTCAAATTTTGTGCACAACTAGAAATATTTTTCTCAGTAAATACTTATCACAGGAAAATATAAAACTGTTATTTCTATCATTAGAATTGTTTCAGGAATTGTCTGAAAGCTATGCCATATGGGGGCGCTTCCTTACTGCAGCTCAAGAAAACAAAAGCATTCATCAGAAAGATAAGATCAAACCACATTCATCAGGACGATAAGATCAAATTACATTGAGCGGAAGGTCATTGACGCCTTCTACAGACTCACCAACCAAGAAACTAAACGATTTGAATTAAAGGTCATTTACAGTATTTGCAACAAACTACAATGGAGGAAAGATAATGTGACTTTTTATTCAGATTAAGAGAAAAAGCTCTGAAAAGATTTTTGCTTAAAATTCATTCTGTTAAGATGCGACAGGAGTTACAACAACAACAACAAATATTGTAAGTGAGATCTATACTAGGGATTGCACTTTCATTTTGGATATGATTATCATCCAATTCAACAAAAACAAAAATCATTTGTAAAGTGGATATGGACAGTATCTCAATGTCGATTAACTAACTTCAAATTGACCTGACAAAACCAATTCCCCTTTTGTTCCTTTTTCTTTTTCTTTTTTAAGGGATGGGGGGCAGGGGGCTTAAGAAGAACTGTAAATAAGCAGGATCTTTAAATCCTACTTGTTGTATCACCTACAGAACAAGTCTTTTTTTTATTTGCTTCACCAGGAAAGAACCCTGGAAATTCCAACCACATGTTTGAACAATTCCCGGATCTGTCAGATCAGACTCAGGGGTCCCTGGTTAAACCTCTCTATTACTCCCACACTAGGCGGGATGAGGGGGGCTGTCACAGATCAGTGGGAGGCATCCGCTTCAGTTAGCCCTGGGTCATGCTATTTACAAACCCCCTCAAAGCAACTCAAATATTGTTTCTTTAGGATATCTCTTTGGAACTGTCTTTGGAACTGTCTTTGGAATTCTCGCTGAATGGAGAGCAGGACGGTGTTTCACAAAGATCCTAAGTTGAACTTAACTCTAAGTTGGACTTAACAATTATGGAAAGCCATTAGCATCATTGAAAATATTTTGTATAAGTTATTTTACAAGGCATAAAATGTTGATTCAAATCAATCATATTTTCTACCATTATGAAAGATTTCATGTTCTTGATGTGGAATTTATAAAAAGTCTAAAATACTTGAATTTTCGCTTTTGAATATATTTTATTTTAATGCTACAAATGGCTCTCCATAACTTTTAAGTCCAACTTAGAGTTAAGTTCGACTTAGGATCTTTGTGAAACACCCCCCTGGGCCGAGAGGAAATGGACTCCTTCAGACAGCATTTCCGTTCATATTGTTCGTGTTTGATAAGAATCATCGACAAAATCCTGCCCACCGGCCTCTTCCTGCGTGGAGGTAATTCAATTAGGAAGGACCCTTCAGGACAGTATGAGCAAAGATAGCGACAGAATCAAGAAGAACAGAGAGCTCTTGACATGAGATGTGGGTGAAAGGTCATCCCGAGGTTTGTCCTTAAAAAACCTCAATGATACAAATATGTGAAATAGCTTTGTATTTCTCTATCGTTTGGTATTGTTAATTTGTTTGCCCCGTCAAGATATGCTTTGCGTGTATGATTCAAAGGGTACATTCGACTCAGATTACCATCCAGAACTTTGCAGTTGTGCGGCAGAATTAAAGGAGAAAAGGGTTAGGTCACACTTATTTATTTATTTATTAATATACAGGGTGGTAATTTCTGTGAGAAGGGGTTCTTTCCCTTTATTCTATTTGCTTTTGTTTTTGGAAAGACAAAAAAGCTACTTGGGGAGACAATTACAGTACTCTAATTTCAAAATATTGTCGTGATTGGGACAATACCTACCTCTAGTGCTTTGGTAGATGCAGGTTGCCTTGGCAACTCCAAGCCGAACATGCCCATCCTGAAAGCGAGATGATGACACTCTGCCTGCTCCGAGAGAACGCTGCAGAGAAACGCTGCCTTGGATAGCGTCATGCTGGTCAGGACACTCTGGGAATGGACGTGCTTCTTTCTTGCCTGCGACACAGAAAAAAAGGGGGGAAAATTATGAAGATGTTGCATCTGGGTGCATGTAACAAGCAACTGAAATGTGGGATGGAGGTACTAAAGGAAGAATTCAGTTATTACAATAATGCAAATTGAAATAATTCTAATTTTCCAGTACTGCTTTTCTCATGAGTAATAAATGAACAGGAGGTCAAGCTTCCTGTTTCCAAATATGAAAATTCCATCATGCGGATTTTTGTGCCAGGATGTATTTACAAATACAAATGTATGTACAACAAATTCGTCCCCAGTTGACCCACAATTTGGAGGGGTGCAGAAAATGAGGTTTAAATTTGCTTTTGGGCAATACTGAAAGGGAAAATATTTTTCATTCCTGTATATTTGTATTCTACATTCATTCAGCTTTCCATTGATATTCAGTAGCATTTTCAACAGATAGGATCTTTATAAAAGGGATTGGGTATCATTGGCTCAGATTCTAAACAAAATCCTCAAATTAGCTCATGCTGTAATGATAATTATAAACCTTTAGATCAGTCAGGAATCCTATGATTTCTACAAGCCAATCGCCTGTCTGATTATTAAGATATTTATGAATGGAATTCAAAATCTCAAAAACCATTAACACTACGTACAGTCTATTGGGGAAAATGAGTACATTAAAACCGGTCACTCAAATATTTTTCCTTTTTTGAGGCAATTTTTTCAGGGCTTCAATATTACACCACACCATAGACACTGATAACACGTAGGGCCATGCATCTCAGATTTGTAAAACTGGAAACATTGTTAAATGATGCCTTTAATGTACAACTGCTGTTTGAACTCACTCTGTTTGAAAGTCCAGTAGGAGGCGGGGCATCTAGGACCGGTGGTTTGTCCAGCATCTCTTCAGCCAGCTGAATGGCTAGTTTACAAGCATTCCTGGTGTAACCATGGGCATGCAATGCTTCAGCTCTTGAAAACATGATCTGAAGAGACGAGAGAATCATTTCCATCTAATTTTAAAAGTTTTGAAGTGAAGCAATGATTAAGAAGAGTACGTAAACAATGGATCAGAGGAAGTAGCACTTGCAGTGTATAGTAACGTTTTTGTTAATAATCTGCTGAAGAAAAAAAAAATTGGTGGTCCAAACAGTGATCTGGGGCCCTTGTTAAAACTTCTTATCAATAACAAAAGCTACTAAAATCATTGCATTTGATTGATTGACAGCAAATTTGTCATAGATGACAAGTTTTATGAATCAGCGCCCAGGGCCCCATCTTATGAAGAGTTGATATCAATCGCAACTATACACATAAGGGATAGGGGAGTGCAAAATTGCGATTGCTTTGGATCAATCAAAACTCTTTATAAGACGGGGCCCTGGGAGGTGTTTCACAAAGACTAAGATCGACTTTAAGTTGACTTAACTATGGCAGGCCATTCATGCCACTGGTTGCTGTCATCATTGGTCTCTCAATTATGATCTTTAGATATCATTTTTGCCTTCAATAATGCCTTCAATCAAATCGGGTAAATTCTGTAGATTTGTGACCACGATTTGTACGTCCCTTGCAAAACAAATGCCAGAAATGGTCAGAGGAACTGGTGGCATGAAAGGCCTGCCATAGTTAAGTTCAACTTAAAGGCTATCTTAGTCTTTGTAAAACACCCCCCTGGTCTCTCAGAACCAAGAATATCAAGGAAGAGAACAGAGTTACTCACCTCTATCCTATCTTCCATCTTCTTGATCCCAACAAAGGGGTTGGGTGTGTCATTCTTCTTCTTGGGTGGGGTCGGCTCGGCCGCCTTGGCCTGCCTGGTGTCATAGTAATACATCTGATATTCATCACTAGAGGGCTGCGACTCACGGGACTCTCTCTGTTCCACCTGCAAAGCTTGCTTCCGCCCCGCCCTTGCTTCGTTTGAGGAGTCGCTCTCCTGCTCTCTCCGGAGTGGTTCAGCCACCAGACCAGCTTCACTGTCCGTTAAGTCAGAATCTCCTCTGTCTACATGCTTGCTCTTCGTCTTGCGCTTCCCGCTGTGTTTATCCCCAGCAGTGGCACCCTCGCGAGGTGAATTTGAACCCTGACTACCCGTGTCTTTGATTTCTGCTCCATGCGGTTGAAGATGTTTGCCGTCCGATGCCTGCTTGGAGGCAAAGTTCGAGACAGTCTGCACATCAGAGTCTGTGTCGTCGGAGTGTGATAAGCTGGCTCCTGTCTGGTAACCTTCGACCCTGTCGCTTGATGAAGACATGGAAGAATCTGAAGAGTTGGCACGCAGGAGAGTCTCACTGTCGGACTCGACCTTGACCTTGTCCTCCTTGGATCCTGGTGTTTCCGCTTGGGGACTACTACTTACAACTACGTTCACCTCCTGTTTGCCTTGCTCTGGACTTGATCGACAGGTCGGGCCCCCCGTCGTGGAAGATTCCGGCATTTTCACGTGGTGGCCACTCCCTGAGATTTGACTGTTCCCCTCGCCACCTTGGCCTACCTTAACCCGAGGGATGCGTGTCTCTCTGTGCGTGACGCCCTCTATGGGGAAATCACTCCAGTCCAACATGCAAGCCTCGATGGCGGGCTTGAACCCTGCAAAGACCTCGATGTCAACTTTACGAAGATTGTTATTGTTTCCACCCGTGCCGCCAGCCCCTACCCAATGCGACGGTCCCCGAGCTTTACGCGCCTTCTCGATGACCTGCAGGTGCCACTTGCGGAACTCTTGCTCGTGGTTGACGCGGTCTTGGCGTGAGTTGATGGGGTTGAGCGCGGCTAGTCGCCACAGAGTAACGATCTCCTCACACATGCTAGCACAGGCGTGTTGAGCTGCTGCTGTGCTGCTATTGCTACTTGCCCGGTGTCCATGGTTTCCATGCTGTGAGTGGAGGGCTGAGGTACGAGTGGTGAACCACCAAATCACAATCTGAAGATCAACAAAAAAGTGATACAATATAGATAAATGTTGGTGAAAAATATGGCCCACGAAAGAAAAATTAGGAAATATTAACTATCAATCAATAGAATACTATTTGATTATTTAATTATATCAAGCTCATGTTAAAAGTTTCATCTCCATGATATACTTGATGAAAACAAAACTAAATAGCATGTTTGTAATTATCATGTCTAAAACATGCCTTGAAAAAAACAAAAAACAGAATAACTCTTTAATTTCTTAGCCCCCTGCGAACAAGTTGCCATTTCCTTCTTATATATGTAATGTCAAACATTACCCTGTTAAAAAAAAATTATCTTGGTACTTCCTAGGCCCCACACATTTGACACATTTTTCATAGTATCATTAAACTAAACCTTGAAACTTCAGCAACAACAACAAAAATAGACTAAATCGAGGGGTCAGTGACACAAAGACGTAACTCCATTTTGGCCATTTTGAGAAAAAGTGGTTTTTGTGTCACTGAGCACTTGGGCCTAAAGGAATAAAATTTATGTTTCACTAGCCATCGACTTCAATTGGGTGTTGGGTGGAGTTAAGTCGTGTTTCCTGGAAAGCCCATGTTTTTCTGAACATTTTGATATCAAATACTAATTTTGGCAAAATGTGGAGTTACGTCTTTGTGTCACTGAACCCTCGAAATGAAGTTCTCCTTATTCATTCCTTTCTCTCTCACCTGATCACAGATGATACACTCCTCCGTTAGGATACGAAGCAGTGAGATGGCATTGCTGTCACGGCGACGGTACATCTCCCTGACGATGGAGAGCAGGTTCCAGATGCCCTCAGGCATCCGCCCCCTCAGGGGTCGTAGCAGGTTGGTCCATTCGGCAGCTGCTTGGGGCGCCGTTGAGGACAGGTACAGGGAGTTCACATCACTGGAATGACAAGATCAATGCAAGATTAGTAATACCGAGAGTCCGTAATTTTTTTTATAGAATAGGCCTGTTTTCATCAGCTCGAGATTGCCAAATAGCCCGCTATATCTGATGTGGGAAATAATTCTGAAGTTACAAATCGTGTCTTCATCAGCTTGAGACTTGACCTCAAAACTTGAAACTCGAGCTCGAGAAATTAGCTTGAGATATTTTGCGCATAGTGCGAGTCTTCGGGCTGGTCAAATAGCATAAATCGGACAAATAGCAGGATATTTTGCAAACTAGCCCAAGATATCTTTGGATGATTATCTCGACCAAATATCCGATAATTGCAACTTTGGGCTGATGAAGACGCAAATTAACTGGATAATTTGCGATCGGGATAGTTCACATAGCGAGATATTTGGCAATCTCGAGCTGATGAGGACAGGCCCAATGTGACTGAATGAAAATGTGACCTTGCAGAGACATGAAAATGCCAAGTATTTTGAAAAAGAGCTAGTACTGTAAATTTGGTCCAGTTCACGGTATTCAATAGCACACACCGAAAATAGAAAGCATAACATTATGTTATTTAAAAGCTTCTATCCTCAGACTGTTCAGACATAGCTCATTTTACTGTTTATTGATCTCTCAGTGGTAGCTGCCTAAATTTGTCTCTTGAACAGGGGGTGTTTCACAAAGACTAAGATCGACTTTAGGTTAGACTCAACCATGGCAGGCCATTGATGCAACTGTTTGATCTCACCATTTACCGGCATTAGTCTCTCAAGGGACGTAAACAAATCATGATCATAAAAATACAGAATTTACATTTTTAAAATTCATTATTGAAGGAAAAAATATCATCTAAGATCATAATGGTGAGTTGGTGGCAGTACCCATTGGCATGAATGGCCTGCCATTGTTAAGTCCAACTTAAAGTTGATCTTAGTCTTTGTGAAACAACCCCCAGAACAGTTATAAATCTGATTAATTTCCTTTTAAAGAAAGATTCTTACCTAAAGACGATGGGAGAAGGACCGCTGAATCTGATGAGGGTCTTCTTGATGTTCTCATGAAGGATGGCTTCATCTAAGAACCAGTGGGTCATCTCGGTGGCTGGGGGTCCGGCGGTAGGGTCAGGGGCACCACACACCTTGTTGATGGCACTGCCTTGGGACAAGAGCAACTCGTCCAGGAGCCGCTGTGCAGTGGGGAGGATCTAGGAAATTGAATCAAGAAGAAGAAGAAGTTAGAAGTTGAAAGGCTACAGATTGAATTTAATATAAAAAATGTATAAAATGTGACTAGCCAATTGAAATATAAAGCTTATCTGTACTAGTTTATAGGAGGGGTTAGACCACACTGCAAGGTCACTGGTCAGGTGGTTATCTCATCAAATCAGCTTCCCAATTAGCATCAGAAAAAGGGGACCATGGGGACCAATGGTTACCGATTAGACATTGTTGCTATATAGAGGGCGCAAGTAGCTATGTAAGTAGTGCAGTGGGGCTTTAAAAGCCAAGTTACTTGCAGCAGGTTTCACATGAAAGAGAGCTTCGGGTTTTAAACACCATTGATGGATTTGAACAGGTATAATTTCATATTTGTCACTTGTTTTGCATTCATGTCAGGAAGACTGGTTCAAAATTAAATAACTACCATCTCCTCTCCATCTTGAATCATTGCATCCAATCTGCACATGAGATAACTGTCCATCTTGTAAAGAGTACCCTAAGAAACACATATTGTCTGCAAAGGCTCAAGTCTTTAATGTATCATTAAAGGTAAAGACCAGTATTGGAAACGCCCCAATTTCAAAAAATGAAATGGAAGCTCTCATTACCAATCATGTGAAAGAATATGTTTTGACTAATACATGATGATAAAAAATTTTCTGGGAAACCGCCTACTAATTCATATATTTGGTAAATTTGTTTCTCTCATGGTCTGTGAGAGATATAGGGTAGTCCCATATACATCTTTCTGTGTATAGTGCTTGTAACTTTACGAAGAATGGGCCAAATTTCTTATCATTTTGATGATTCCAGAACCTTGCAGATGCTAGATGCTAGATGATCAACCTTTTCTGATCGATTCCACAGCGTTTTTTTCACAATGGAATCGCATGACCATAACTGGTCTTTACCTTTAAAGGTGTATGTCAAAGTTCTGAATATATACATAATAAAGGGAGGAACTGGGTTCTTCATAGGAGATTCTGTTCCATGTACAAGAAAAAGAAAGGCAGCACAAACCAGAAATATAAACAAAATTTACACTTTTCTTCACTCATTGACCTACAGCTGTCGACATACTCCACTGATGAAACATAAATATGTGCATGTCTATCACTGAGTCACCCTGACATCATTGTCTACGAAGACATCAAAGCAAGAGCAAATTGGCAACCCCAAGGGGACAAGACAATGTCAATGCAAAATACTAAGCTCTAAATGGGACATTGAGGCTGTTGGCTTAACCTGCATTCAGACTAACAACATTCATCGTTTGGCTCTATATGCCTGTAAGTGTTGTATATGAAGTATATTAGCCTATTTTGCCTAGTCTGAACATTGTACAGTCAAGCCTGCTTTAGTGACCACCTCTGGTGGTCTTTATAGACAGGTTCCACTGTATAATGAAAATTCGCATAACAAAACGTTGTATAGAGAAAACATCTATTTGAGCATCGTTTTGAACGAAAAAGTGATAAACTAACAGGGATCCGCTCTAGTATAACTGGGCGGGGCTTATCATGAGCGCACACTAGTGATTGGCTAGCCCTCATATGTTTACTGATCTCATCAAAATCAGTTTCTTTGTACGATGTTTCTTGATCGGATGTTGTTTTCTAGTCTGTATGCTCAATTCGTTATGCAGGGATTCTTTATAATTATGTAGTCAAACCTCTACAGCGACGGCTCAAGGGAAACAAAAAAATGTGGTCTTTGTAGACAGGTGGTGACTAAAGCTAGTTTGACTGTACCAGTTTTGTATAAATTTCCCATGGTATGAAGAGACTAGTACATAGTATACTGAATGCTGTTGAAAATGTACCTGCCATCTGACATGAATTTGCTTTTGCATCTGTGTCGTGCATCAAGAAATTTGGCCTTGGGGGAGAATGAGGGGAGATGTGTGTTCATAAGGCAAACATAACATGAGACTTTGAAAGGTTAGCTGTTGATATTCAAATGTCTCAAGGAAACTACATGTACACTGTATATAACACAAGATGGCAAAACCTTGTGTACTCAAAAAAAAAAATCTTTGTAGAAAAGGAATTGTTGTAGAATTGTAAATGAAAATGATTTTTACAGGAGGAATTTTTTTGTAAATTGCAAAAATTCAGGGTTGTGTCAGTTGTGAATCAATAATGCCATCAAACTTTGCGGATACAGATCAATTGCAAAATTCACAATCATTTTGTTCGTCTGAAAGTTTCTGTTTTTTAGCGTTTATTGAATGAGGCTTGCTTGACATAGTGTAGACTGGTTTCGGAGTGTTGTAGATCTGTAGATCATTATCAATAACAGGTTACATAAATAACCTGTCACTAGGTCCCCAGGAATGAAACATCAGAAAATTTGAAATTTTGAATATGTTAGTAAATCAGTCCATTTTTTTCTCGAAAAAGGACTTACCAAACGGGGAAATTCACTAATGAGATACTGAGCGAACTTCTGAAGCTGTTCTCTGTGCAAGCGGGAAAGGGACTCCGACACGGGGGCGCGCAGGCAGACGGACGACGGATGGTGGATGCGGTAGAGACACAGCGCCACCACGTGACTGCACCACTTGCTGGCCGAGCTGCACGTACAGCTGCAGGAGGAGATGCGACGTCGGTCGAAGGTGATGGCGACGTTGAAGGTCGCACTGGTGCCGTGCTGCTGGGTCATGGGATGGGAGGGCACTACTGTCCCACTCAGGTGAAATCCTATAGGGTAAAAATCAGGATAAGTTTATTAATTATACAGTGTACCTCAAACAATTGTATGACTTCCTCCTTGCAAACGCCAAGAGGTTTACATGCCCCTAAATACACATAATACATTTTATATTCCTCTTCATATTTTTCACAGCTTGGAACTTGTTCTTTGCAATTTTAAGACGAGATAATAGGTGGCTCTGATGGACAATGTTTAATTTCATAAATATGCGAAAGAGATTTTGGAGATTGGATTACACCTACAATGTACTACTTCCTCAATGCATGCTTTATCATGGTGATTCCTGAACATATACTGTAGACGTACTTCATTGTAACCAAAGACATTTAATCTGTGAAAACAATCTTTTTTTTTAACAATGAATAAAAAGGATCTTGTATAATTATCTTGAACCTGAACCTGATATTTATAAACAATTCTCAGTAAACAGGATGTGGGAGATCAATGTTGTTTTTGTTAATGACAAAAGGGAACATACTGCATAAACAAAATATGAGATTTATGATATGCAATACAAATTCCTGTATGATTTAAGAGCACTTAATTATCAAAAACTTCAGCAAAGTCTTCATTCATTTATTTCATTATGTTCACACAGATGTTTAGTGCACACAATATGACTATTTAAATGGTTTGTTGATATAATGTAAATTGTCTTTTACTTGACTACCATGAACGCATACGCTTGTACAATTAAAGTAAGTAAGCAACCAGGGGACTGTCGATTTAAGTCCTTTCCAAGGGACTTGGGAATGAGGATTACTGCCTATATAACCAAACATACATGTACAAGCTAAAGGCACTATCAATTCGATTTGGTTTCAAACCCGGGATCAGTTTTACTTCAATATGTACCGATGACTGGAAGATGATCTACATGTACCAACAAACATATAACACAAGTTCATATATACATTAGATTTAGAGTTCTGTTACATGTAGATCAAGGAAATGTTGTACATACACTCTAGATAGAAATAGAGCTACAATGTGCACTTGTAAGCCTGTATATCACAGACTTCAATCAATTCAAGGCATCACAAATTTTACACATTCTTAGTCTTTAAAAAATCTCAATTTAAACAAAACAGACTGATAAAGTTCATGGACATGATGTATCAATGAATCAATAACAAGAACAGAATATTCTACCACAACTTAGAGCAAAAAAAAAGATCATCTGATTCTGAAAATCTGGATACCAATTACCAACTCTTCTAAAAGCACTCTTGGTAGGTCCATTCGATACCAGCAACATACAGTAATAAACATGTGCTCATGCAGTATGCCTGACCCGCCTGAGTCTATTTTTGGAAACATGACATGTTGATACAAGTCTAAATTGGGGAGAAACTAAAATTGCTAATCTCAGCATTGGCTGTTCTTTTGCATCTGGTCGAACCAGGGATACTGTATGTGAGTTAACTAGACAATTCTAGAATATGTACACTAGTAGTATCCAATCTCTTCGCCAAAGCCCCATCTAAATTCTAAATGGGTCTGGAATATGTATAAAAATGCATCTTTTTACTTTAATTGTATGATGCATATTAAAAGTGAAATGAATGAAGTCTGGAAAGTGTAGACTACAAACATCTGTTCTCGCTTTCCAAGATCCTGAATAAAAGATGAGTCTGGAATATATATACAGGACTACATGTACTCTATACTATACCCCCCCCCCCCCTTCTTTACCAGTTTCCTTTTAAAACTCTAAAATGCTCAAGCCTGGAATATATTGACTCTTGGTATTCATTCTCTCTTTTCTAGATCCCTTCTTAAAAGTTGAAATTAATGAAATTATGGGAATGCATATTCTTTTCTTAGAGATCAAAGGTATCTCTGAAACTATATCTGTTTAAAGGGCATTACGTGTACACTGAAACTCCTATACATATTTAACATAATTCCGGCTAACCAGTTAGTCTAATTCCCAGTATGCCATTTCGTCTACTATCCATATATGGTCCAAAAATAATTTGATTATTATCATTTATGATTAAATTTTATCAGACCATACAGTATGAATAGTAGACAAAATGGGCGTTAGACAAACTGGGGATTAGACTTAATTAGCAATAGAAAAAAAATTGGTTATAGACTTATTTGGGATTAGACCATATGGAAATTACACCAATTGAATATTAGCCTAAATGGTTATTAGACCAAATGATAAGTAGACAAAATGATTATTAGACCATGTTGATAGTAGACGGGCTGGATGTAGACCATATGGGAGTAGACTAATTGGGTAGAAGACGAACTGGTGGTAGACCACACCGTTAATTTATCACAAAAGACAAAGACATACATCCATGACTTGCAACGGAAGACTACATGGAAGCTAGTGATGGCTTACCAATTTGAAGAACATCTTTGACCGCTTTGTTCCTGACCATGTGTTCTCCTCTCTGGAACTCATCAGGGCTACCATTAGCCAGGCAGGAATACAGTCTAAACAAAGACAGAGAGAGAGAGAGAGAGAGATAGAGATAGAGAGAGAGAGAGAGATAGAGATAGAGAGAGATGGAGGAATATAACAGAGATATAAACATTGATGTGTTGACAACCACAGATCAAGTTGGTGAACATATGATAAATTACTGTCAAATTTTTTACCAGCAATCATGGATATAATAATCCGTGCAACCAATTATATTCTTTAATTTTTGCCTCTGCCATTATAGGATTTATTTGAATAAAAAGAAAAGAATTTAAAAAAAAAGACGACAGTTTCATCAGAGAGAGATATATATATATATATATATATATGTAACAGAAAGATAAACAATTGATGAGTTTACAACCACAAATCAAGTTTGGTGATCATTAATTACTGCATGTAGATAATAAAAGCCCTACATGTAACTCAGATAAATTTGAACTCTGCACATTGTAAGGATGAAGAATGTACCATTTTAAGTAATACGTGTCGAGATTCTGGTATCATTATCACACTTTGGATATGTTTTCATATAACTAGATACATTATATGTACACGTACAGTACATGTATATGCCAGTTTATCATTACAAAAAATGAAGATAACTCTTACAGAGACAAATTTAAAACCAGACCAGGAATCTCCATTTACTGTATTATCGTCTCAGCAAATCCTTTCCTTACTCTCCTTGTTGAAGTTCTCCTTTGTTATCAATCTGTCTCCCCTCTATTTTATCATTCTCTATCTCCTTCTTTGTATCTGCCTTATTCTTACCTCACCCCCACTCCTTTTTTCATCCCTTGCTCCTTTCTCCCTTTTCTACTCCCGATTTTTTCCCTCTCCTTATCATCCTTCTTCCCATTCCCCCTCCTACTCCTCCCTTCTCTTCCTCTCTTCTCTCTCCCCATCTTTTCCCATATCTTCCATCAATTCCACCTTCATATGTTTACTTCTTCTCTCTCCTCCTGCTACTTTCCATTGTATAGTCAGAGGCTCAATTCCTCTTTCTATTTTTGTTCTCTTAAATTATTTACTCAAAGTCGAGTATATACCCTCACCTCTCCACGAATGTTTAACTCAAGTAACTGTACTTATCCTTCTCATGCACATTGTACACGGTACAGGATTTGCACGAGATGCAGATTAGTATAGGAAGACTGTGTGTTTTTATACTATTCTGTAGAAAAGGCACAGATGTGGGTCAGGAGGTAGACTGGCAGAGGGCAAAAGGCAGTTTGAGTTTCAGCTTGAGATATATCAATGACAAGTGTGAGAGAAAGTTCAAGGAGAGTTCCTAAGATTAGGAGCACAGTATCTGTATGGATATTCTTTGTTGGCTTAGCTTTGCACATGAACTTTCCAATTCAATCACTGATTGCATGAAAAAAAATGTATAGTCTGCTGTGAAGCAAAAGGTCCCCCCCCCCCTCTCTCTCTCTCCCCCTCCTCCTCCTCCTCCTCCTCCTCCTCCTCCTTCTCCTCCTCCCTCCTCCTCTTACACAACTCACAAGTGTCAACTGTGCACATTCTTCAAGTGTTATAACAAACAAGTAGAATGAATGCAACAGTATGTACTGTACATGTATTCTCTAACCTATGAAATTGGACTTCATGTATAATCTTGAGTTTACAGATTACAAGTAACAAAAAATAATACTTTATTTGTAACTGCAATGGAAAAGTGTAATAATCACTTGCTGCATACATGTAGTGCATCTACTCATGGATCAAATTTTTGATTTCCCTACCAGTAATCATTAAATTCATTCCAAAGGAATATTTATTTGGTGAAAAACGATAACATTTGTACCATCAAAAGGGTTTTAGAATTAGCATACATTATATTTTCAAAAACAACTGACATCATGTGATATAAAGGAAGGAAGGAAGGTGAGCATTATAGGACTACCTTAAAGGTAAAGACCAGTATTGGAAACGCCCCAATTTCAAAAAATGAGATGGAAGCTCTCAATACCAATCATGTGAAAGAATATGTTTTGACTAATACATGATGATAAAAAATTACCGCTTAACCGCCTTCTAATTGATATATTTGGTAAATTATTATATCTATTTGACTGTGAGAGATATAGGGTGGTCCCATATACATCTTTCTGTGTATAGTTTACAAAGAATGGGCCAAATTTCTTATCATTTTGATGATTCCAGAACCTTGCAGATGCTAGATGCTAGATGATCAACCTTTTCTGATCGATTCCACAATGTTTCTTTCACAATGCAATCGCATGACCATAACTGGTCTTTACCTTTAAATTAGAGCCCATGAAAACAAGACTACTACAGGTAACTACTATAAAGCAGGGCCATATTGTATTTGCTACATGTAGCTTCACTCTCACACAATCTGCAGAATGTTAATCCATCCCCTCTACGTATCATCATCTGGCCAGCTAGGAGGCTATATGGAAAGCTCAATTTCCGAAGGTGAGGCCGCTGAGTGAACAAACAGCAGGAAACCAGGTCTTGACGTTGACCTGGTACGTCACCTGACGGGGTCATGTTTTGTCTGCGATGCCGAGGAGTGGAAGGGGGGAGGGGTGCTCGCACATCTCGGTAGCGGCTAGACCCTGTGATCCCATCGTGAGTGCCACGCAGGAACCCCCGGCCTCCACCCGGTTCTGACCATGCGCACGTATCCTATGCTCAACACATGCATAATTTATGTACACACCTTCACGTAAATGTGTACCTGTACGTATTCATACGTAACCATACACGTAAATCAAGAAAAACTGCACATGTGAAGCTCTGTCATCCATGAGTCTTGTTTTTGTGTTACATATCCACTTAGCATTTTGTGATGGTACATGTACGTGTATTGTAATGTATGTGTATATTTTAAAAATAGAACCTACAGTATATTGTAGTAGGAATATACAGCCTATATATGATATCAATTTTTGGTGTTATAAAATGATAGAATCATGTATCGTTCGTTTGGAGGAAGAAGGGTTACCCTATATCATTTTACACAGAATTAACGGCCTTCTGGCTTTAAACAGATTACGTGTACAGCTCAAAGCTGTTGCTCAATTTATGCTTATACATGTAAGTCCGCAAAAAATGAATTCAATAGAATCATACGATACGAGGCAATGGGTATCCATGCAGCCTTTATATTTACATGTTCATGCGCCTTGTCTATCCAAGCAAGATCATACATACAGTATATTTATACATATTTGAAGTCATATACGGCCAGACAACAAGCCATTATATATTCCATGGTACCCTGTAGGAGTAGATCAATTAAAACACATTAGCTCTGGGGATTGTTTTTGTTGTCGCTTTTCTGTTATAATGTTTGTTTCATTTTGTTTCTGGTTTTATAAGGTTTACATACTCACTGTAACATATTCTGTCAAATCAATTTACATGTAGGTGATTTGCATCCTACATACATGTACATGTACGTCTACATTTATCTCTCTACATTCAGCTTATCTACATTTGATGGTAGATTTATAAATAGATAGATGTGTGCATCCATAATAAAATAGATAGTTTTCTCAGAAACACCATAAAAATACAGAGAAGACAGCCCCTAAAATACATTTATGGCATGTGAAAAATGACCAGACTGTTTAAATTTAACTCTCTTGCTCATAAACTACCCATTAGTTTTAATCTACTGCTCTTGGGGTAAAAGCATGCATGCAGGTCTGCAAGTACTGTAAGTTTTGCTAATAATCTTACCTGATATCCTCTTCATTCTCGGGAAAGCTCCAGAAAGCGATGCGGAGCTGAAGGTTTTCAGGAACCGGTGGGTAGACTCGTTCAACGACTTCAAAGGGGATGTAGAGGGCGGTGGTCTTTGCTGTCAGTTCAACCAATGAGGAAACTAGGGAGAGGAAGAGAAGAGGTGGAGTCAAGATGAATGATTTTAATTTTTGTGACAATAACATCCACATTGGATCAAATTAAATAAGTAAATATACAAATGAACAAGGAACAACTTCAAAGGGGATGTAAAGGGCGGTGGTCTTCGCTTTCAGTTCAACCAAGGAAGAAATTAAGGAGAAGAAGAGCAGAGAGCAGAGGTGGAGTCAAGATGAATGATTTGGTTTAGATGTGACAATAAAACATTAATTAGCATTTGATGAAATAAATAAGTAAATATATAAATGAACGGGTAGGGTTGTGCGATCTCCATGGCTTGTACATGTATAGCTCTTGAACATAAAAACAATTGAATGCATACAAAAATAAAGATCTGATTGGGGGGTGACATGCTTTTGAGTAAGGCTGTGCACAACAGTGTAATAAGGTACCCGAGTACACTCCCAGGCTTACAAGCGAATACTCGAATATTCGGACGCCATGTTTTTTTTATAATTTTTTTGAATTTTTTGATTTTTTTTTGATTTTTTTTTATTTAAACAAATTTTTTTTGCCACCACCATACCACTGGTGCAGTATCCCACACTATGAACATGACAGACAAAGAAAGCAGACAAAATATACAGTTCCTCAGGTAGACAAAGGAACATCCCTTCACTGCTATTATGTAAACAGGTGAATATGCATGTGGCACCTGTTCTACACATGTTTACATAATAGCAGTAAAGGGATGTTCCTTTGTCTACCTGAGGAACTGTATATTTTGTCCGCTTTCTATGTCAGTCATGTTCATAGTGCCAGTATCGCCAAAAACGCATGCAATTTTACTTCGAGTTGCAGTTGAAGGCGCCGATTTAATAATAATAATAATAACAGTAAACAATGCTGTTTTAAAAACCAAAGATGGCAGAATAATCCATTGTCCTCCGAGTCTAAACTGAAATCCGGACATTTGGTCCCAGTTTCTGAGTGGTGAGTTTGACAGTGCTTGAGTTGGGAAACATTTTTACTGACGGTACCATGCCAGCGGCCGCCGCTCTTCCTGGCAAGGGTAAGCGTCGGCCTGGACATTTTTTTTCTTCTTTTTTTTTCTGGCCGAATATTCGGTACGAGAAATCGTACCCGAGTAGTTGTCAACCGCCGGGTACTCGAGCATTTGACTACCCGTCGCAGCCTTACTTTGGAGTATAAATAGCAATTCTAATTGCTATCCTTCTCTCTTTCTCCCCTCCACTTTCCTAAAACTGTTATGTATTATGAAATCTCTATGTATTATCTGATTGATATACTCACTGTATTATTGGTCAAATAAATAATAATAATAATAATATGTTCCACTCCAGAGGCTATTTTACTGCATGTACAAAATAAACACACTACTGTATGTTGCTGTTCTTGTGTGTTGCTTTTTTAAAGCATAATGCGGGAAATATGTAGGCTTACATTTATCATATTCATATGTAAACATGTGCATGCATGTACAAAGTATTATCATGTTGCCAATTAAAGAATTGAAAAGCTCAGTACAGTACATTGGTGTGTACATGTTGCACATGTACAGGTGGATGCTGTATGTTGAATGAGTACATGCCCTTGGTGCATTTCATTATGACGTTCATTCATGTAAATCATACTGTTAGAAATGTAGAAGCAGACTTGATTTCAGTGCACAATAATGCATCAATATAGGCTAAATAAAGTACATGTTCATGTACAGGTGTAAAATACGTGTAAATGATAATTTCAGTGTCTACCGTAAGTCTTACATGTACACACACAAAAAAGCCAACTAAAATGATACCAAGAGTCAGGTGTTCTGCAGACACACCCACCCACCCAAGTAAGACATTCATTCATACACAAACATACACACACTCCACTTGACTGCGGTAATCTATACACTATACGTGTTGCCATGGAAATTTCATTATCCATGCATGACCATTCGAGGCTACCTGCCACACTGTACATGTACATGCAGTAATATACAGTATACCTACATGGAAAAATGTAATAAGCAAAATTGACACAATAACCACACAGTTCGATAGGCAATGTTGGGTTATGAATTTTGTATGTGCTATATTTATGTACCTGCCTATAAATGTACATGTATATTAACAGTACCGTAATTAATGGTGTATAAACCGCCTCCGCACCCCTCTTTTTCGCCCTAATTTTTTTTCTTTGTGATTCTTTTTTGACGACTCTGTCGCCAGCAAGCCAGGTTCTTGGTAAAACCCACGTGGGAAGGCCTTTCATTTAACTGTGAGGTACAGCTGAATGTGTAAGATCATTAATGTAAATTAAAAAACAGTAGAGGACCTAGGATAGAACCTTGTGGTACGCCATGTACTGTAATAGAAGAAAAATTGGAGTAATTATTATTATAAACAACATATTAAGATCTATCAGAAAGATTACTTTCAAACCAAGATGACAGACAAAATTGAATGTTGTTCTAGTTTCCGAGTGGTGAGTCAACACACCAATTACTGAGCTGGGATACATTGCCAGGCATAGCACCATGTGGAGGGGCATAAATCGAAACTTAAAACTTGTGTACTGTGTATAAGACACGCCCCCGACTTTAAAATTTGAATTTGTTTCGGCTGCAAAAAAGTGTGGTTAATACACCGTTAATTACGGTAAAAAACTAAATTATTCATACCCTTACCATGTTTTGTCATTTTTTTTATCGAAGGGCATGTGAAAAATCGACTTGTCCCAGTTCATGTGACATAAATGTAGTAAAGAGTATTCAACAAAGGCCCAAATTCAACCAGCCCATCTTTCATTATTGAGTTACAAAAAAACATACCAAAACATCACATTTATAACGGATATGATCAATTTAGTTGTTATCCTGTTTGTACAAAATGTACAATATGAACATGTAAATTGTACCATGAATATTCTTAGAGATAACAATTTTGCAAGCTCCTCTCCAATTTGCTTTGTACAGAAAATGTCATTAACTAATTTTCTTTGCTACAGTATACATGTATATTGATGATGGAATAGCTTTGTTTCATATTACAGGGGTTGTAAAAAAACATATTTGCATTTCGAGGGTGAATGTACAATGTAGGCCTATCATAGAAAAAAAATTAAACCGAAAATATAGATTTTTGAAGCTTTTTAGTACAGGGCAAATGGGAGGAGAGCGTGCAAGATACATCACAGAGTTGCCAATTTGTGTTTGATTGATCGCACCTTCAACAATTCATAACTTTCTTATTACATGTAAGCCGGTCTTTAATCCAGCAAATTAGCTAAAGAGCATGTCTCTTGACCCCTGTTGACTAAACATCTTTAACGTTTTCTGTTGATAATCCAACTTGTAAATGAAATTATGAAAAGACTTTGGTAACAGATTTGTCATCCACTCTTTAGTAACAAATACCGTACACACTACACACAATCGAGTACCTGTATACAAATATTTTTAGGCTACTCCACATACATAATGTATTCATACACAGATCTACGCGTTTGTAGATGTGTTTTTATTTAATGGGGTGCAACTCTCGTTCTAGACCCTCGTGAACTTGAAATGACCTCCATTCCAAACCCACTTCAACCTTTCCAAACAAAGGATTTTAATCATCTTGAGTTGATTGTTTCCTTCCATATGGTTTCAAGCTTTCTCCAAAATTTTCCTTGACAAAATTGTAGAATTTACAGGCCGGTCTATAAACATGAGTTACATTTAATTTTACAGTAGATGTTCTTTTTTCACACATACCTGTATACTTGTACTAATTAGACAAGTAAATATATATACAACAATTTCCAATTATTAATAAAAAAGGAAAAATATAGGACTCAGAGCATTATTATCCCATCTTTCCCAATTTGTTACATTCTACTTTGCTCTCTCTCTCTCTCTCTCCTCCTCCTATTCCTCTTCCTCCTCCTCCCCAACCTTCCTCTACCCCCTCTTTCTTTCTCTCTTTCTCTCCTCCCCCCCCCCCCCCCATTTCTGTGTTGTTGTTTTTATTGAAGATTTTAATTACTGTAAATGTCTCAAGTGAATTGTGCAGGCAGCTAAAGTCCTTGATTGCATATACATACACTGTACGTATGTGGTCAGGAAAATTAAACTGACCTGACCTACTTTCAGACCACTCAGTCAATTGTTCATGACCTTTGCCCTTTCCTTGGCTTGAGATTGGGTTCAGTCTAAGGACACTCATTCCAGCACACACTACAGACACAGTACCGTATACAACATGACCCCTGCTTGTTGTGTAAAAAGTTTACTAAGCACATTGATCAAATATGTGTTGTTGTTTTTGTTTAATTACAATGACATGTGGATGCATGTACACTGTACAGGTAATGTACATGTACAATCATCGATCTAGTAGGCCTACATGTAAATGTACACATGTACATGCTGTATCTAGACCCGGTAACCACAGTTATTTAGTCATGATGAGTATCATACATGTATGTCCACTCAAATGAGGTCAAGGTCATGTCCAAACATAGCCATGTACACTTCACATAGCTCTGCAGGAACCCAAGGCCAGGCTACATGTATCAATATCAACAAAATGACTCAACAAGGCCAGTAACCGACTACATGTACATGTATGCTGCTGCAATACATGCACAATATATACACCTGCATTTAGTATGTGCAGATGTATACGTACATGTACAATAAACCTGTAATTATGAGTACCAGGTACATGTAAAATAAGCTGATTCCATGTAAGTACTCACCTCTTCCTGTTTACATGTACATGTTTCAGATAAAGCAAAGAAACAGAAGATCAGACAACATGTACAGTGTAGGCATTTTCACTTCTCTGTAGCATTCCATTGTTAATTTTTAATGTACACGGAATGGTAGTATATAATTTCATACAGGTGTATATTACATTATAAATTACAAACAAAGTTAAATTTTTAATAACTTCAAGTACTAAAACATACTGTACATAAAGGGAAAAAATACTTTACCGGTAAACATTTCGCAGGCTACGTTTCAAGCCTGCTTGCATGAAAATAACACTCTTTATTTTGTTTTGGACTCATTGAACTCATTGAACTCCTTGCAGTTTTTGGGGGCTCTTTTATGACTTTCGGGGGCTCTTTTTGGCATTTCGGGGGCTAATTCGCCCCGAGCCCCCATGTATTTTTTTTCCCTATTTGTACATGTACATGTACATGTAATAGTACGATGTAAGTAATATCATTGGGCTTGCCCGAATGGCAGCACAGATAAAGAAAGATATACATATACATGTACATGTATACACAAGAGGCCAGATTTGTTTATTTGTTTAGATACATTGTGTACATGTACATGTACATGTACATGTCGAAACAAAATCTTTAATTCACACAAAGAGTTCCTGGCAATTGGAAGAAATAGGAATTTTCATATGACAACATGCATGTACAGACCTATACCTGCACGTACATGAACATTTGTAAAAGTGATGTATCTTTCATCTTTTGGAGACAAGATAATTATGTTGATGTGCAGTATAATACTGACATGTACATAATTGGTAATAATAAAACCAACTCAATGGTGCACTGGGTGTACATTGTAGATGGGCAATTATGAATTATTTATGAAATGGAATTTTCATTCTTGTTATCAATCATCTACCTCCTCCATCTTCCGGTTGTCATGTTGTTTTCCTGTGAGAATAATGCTGACTTTAGCCTTGATGTGGGTCATGTCTGCATGGATTAATCATGATAGTAGCATACAGTATGACAATGACCAACTATATCCTTGGCCTGCTATACCCTGCATTTTTGATACAGTACCGGGTACTTGTGTTTGTAACTTTGCAATTGTGATGATTTCCAGAAACTCTTTAAAAAAAGTGACGACATGAATGAAATTTATTTCACTTTCATCCTCTTGCCAAAATATCACAACAATAACACAATTTCATGGAAAAAATGTGTAGATTGACAACCATTTTCACCTCATGCCAAGCTTGAACAATCTCTTGCAGTCCATTATTCTAAAGTAACATTACATCTGTTTTATTCATCTACTGTAATTTAATTGTCTCTACCTTTGTACAGTCTTTCTCTTTATGACCATTACTACCACTATAAGGGGATGGGGGTAGTGGGCAGGATTACCCCTGCACCCATGAAGCCTTCCTCATCAGTTTCATTGTTTGTTAACTCTGCATTCTGCAATGGTGAGATTTCCTTTGTGCGCCTTTCCTTTGACCACACTCTCCTACAACTGTATGTCAAAAACCACAACAATAACACAGTTTCATGGAAAGAAACGTGTGGAGTGATAAGCATTGAAAAGGCTTGATATCATTGGCCGATGACTAACCTTCCCACCGATAAGGATAAGGCTTTCTTCCACCTACAGTACATACTGTACATGTGGCTTCCAAGATGTTCCTTTGTTTTTTGGAATGGCAAATGAAAAGTGTTTAACAGGAACCCATGAGGTTGCAATGAAGTAGACAAAGGCTTTGTGCAATGTAGAATTAAATCTAATATAACCCGCTTCATAGATGTTGTATAATATATCTGTAATGTGTACATATAATAATTGTAGGCCTACAGTATGTACTTTGTAAAAGTAAGCAACATACATGTACATGAATGCAGCTAGGAAAGTGGAAAGGAATTTTACATATTCTGTAGGACACTTGCCCTTGTGTATTTAAACATCAAATACTAGAACAATAAAAAAGGTGCATGTACAATGTACATGTATATCAAGTTTCAACAATAACAAAATATGAACATGAGAGGGAACATTTATAGATCTACTTTAAGATTACCGGTACATGTACGGCAGTGTACAGTGTGTATACATGTGTACATGTAGCTACATTTCTGTTTTTATTGTTAGCATCATATACAGTTGTAAGATGGACCAGATTAGTTTTACATCGATTCAATAATCTGTTTGGTGCGAATGGGACTACACAAGGAAAGACAGAGATAACACTCTTCGGAAGGAAGTAAGACCCTGGCTACCTATATCCTGTAAACCGACTAAACCATTTTATGGGATTTAGTAAAAAAAAAAAAAAAAAAAAAAGGAAAGGATGCTATGTAAGGTACACAGGACCAGAAGGAAGAAACATGTGATTAAGTCCTGTAAATCTATTAAAACCAGATATGCTTTAGGTAGAAAGAGAAAGAAAAAGAAAGATTGTTATCATTGTTTAAGTAATAAACATGCAGGAACAGAACCAGGAGGATCATGTAAGATAAGGTCCTGTAAATCTCATTAAACCATTTAATGGGTTTATGATGGAAAAGAAGGGATATATGTGTAAAATGTGGATTGTATTAAAGGTACTTTGTACACATGAACAGAGAGAAGTCTGATACAAATGTAAGATCAAAGTCCTGTTTATGTAAATCTACTTTAATGTGTCTAAGGAAAAGAAAAAAACCCACCCCCCCCCCCCCCCCTCATGTATTTGATAAGTTTAACTTTAAGAAGATAAAATAAAGATGTGCCGGTGATATACTGTACATGTACGTGTATGAAAAATGCACATGGACAGAAGAAAGATAGATTTGATGACTAGCGGTCTAGCATCTGTGCTGTTTGTATTAACAATTTGTACAAAATGCTGAAAATATTGGCAATGGACAGTTTCATTTTTCAGCACCCAAAAAAGAGAAATAATTATAATAAAGCTATAATATACTACATGTAATGAATTTTAAAAATAATAACAATAACTTCATTCTTGTATATGATTTCACCACTTCAATCATACTGTATGTCAGTTGGACTTTGAACATTGTTGTTTACCGGTGTACTACATGTACTGTACAGTGTACATGTACATGTATTTAATTGATACTTGAAAATTGAAATTGAAGGAATTTATCAGACAGGAATGTCAAGCAGTTGCATGTACCTCTTTAAAAAAAAGTAATTCTATGTGTGTTGTGCTCGACAGGTGATGAGATGAACATGGCTTCTGTGTGAAACTGGTCATGAATATTTTAAAGCCCATTCTTTCTCTTTTCTTAAAGCAACAACAAATGGACCACAATTAATGTACATAACACTGACAACAGTCAAATCTTCAAAACACACTGATTTTACTTTCATCGTACATTCACAATTTAACCGCTGCATTGCAAAGTTCAGTTTCGATTCACACCAACATCAGGAGTTAAAATTAATATTAATTACATGTACCAAATTTCACAAATTTCAGAAATATGCCTTTAATTAATATCAAACTCTCCCTTGATAATTACCCTCTGTTAAAGACGAAGAAATCCCTGGGGCTGCAGGGACAGCAGACGACATTCTCTCTCCCCCTCCAGTTCCATTGCTGTTTTTCTTCCATCCTCTCCAGTTGTTGTTACACACACTCTCTGCCTCGCTCACCCAAGAGCATAGCGAATCTTCCTCGAACCGATCACTGTCCTCGAATGAAAACTGGTCTCCTTGATCATCCCAATCATATATAAAATCCATTATACAAACCTTGAGTAAATTTAGGTTTGGGTTACTAGTAACTGAAAGTAACAAAAGTATGCCAAGTCTGCTTTCACTCTAGATGTAAACAAATCGGTTGTTTCCCTCTGCTGTTCAGCAACCTCAATGAATGAGCATCGATCACCCCCAAAATAATCAGATGTTCCCCAAGAAATTCATAATGATTAGTGTTTGGGTCATAATAATATAAAGAACAAAATCAACCCAGTCCAGAAAAATGTCTATGAACCCCTTTTGCTACGAATAGATAATATAAGAGAAAAGGGTTGAGATACCACTTCTGACTGTAGTGTAGAGTAGTGTGTGGAGAGGGTCAGCCAATCCCTTTGTCAGGTCAAATGGCTCTGCCTCTGTAGCACTAGCACTGCATTATTGTGATTCAGCTCCGGGTGTGCTCCAGACAAAAAAAAGAAGAGCGTTCACGATCACGAGTCACAAATTTACTGCTATGCTGAAGCGAAGATCCTTTCTCACGCTAATTCTGATCCCAATACAGGCCTACAGTATTAGAGAATACATCCATACTACTAATCTAAACGTCTGAGTTGAACACGAGAATTATTTCCCTTGTTCTTTCATTTACCTCCCGATTCCGCACTATCATACTACATTGATCACAGCTGTTCAATGGACGTAAACAACACACATCCAGCCTTGGAAGGGATTCGGCAATAGTCGGAATATCGCGAGTATGTTCGGAAATACAATATCGGCTCGAACAACTTTAGTATATAAAGCAAAATTTTATCGAAATATGTATTACTTAATAAATTAATCAAACTTTTAATAAACATATTTAATAATACTTTATATTTATTTACTTTGATTTAATGATGTTTAATGTTTAAAATACAATATTATTGTTGGAATTCTTCACTCACTCTTTTTGATCCAGATTGCCGAAGTCATTAGAGTAATGAACATTTTCCTTATTGAAAATCCCTCTAAATCGAATGTTTCCGTACTTGAATTAAGATATTAGACCAATAGGATTAATCTTATACATGATTTCAGTTTGTTGTATGAATTTTGGTAGTTATTAGCGTTGTATTTGTGTATAAAATAGATTCCGAATAGATACTATGGCCCTATGTTGTCTTGCATTTCATGATCTGCGTATGTTTTGTACATGGCCACAGCGTTGAACTATACGTAGAACACGACGTAATGTCAGTCTTCCCCTGTTAAAATAAAGCAATCATTCCTATTTTAGGTACTAGATTCTCTTTTAAGAATAGCATATTCAATTGTAAATTCCATTGCCACGTCTGCGTAATTACCTTACTTTTTTCTAACTGAAAGAAAATATAATCGTTCCCGAGGCCGAGTCCAGCCGTGTTGGCTGTTGCCCCCTTGTCTCGAGTCGAGACTTGGTCTTGAATCTTTACTTTAGTGCGAGACATGCTGAAGCTCGAGCGCTTTGCTCGGGCTACTGCCCGCGAGACTCTGGAGCAATAGGCGTCCTTGAAGTAGAGCTAGCCCTAGCGGCCAAGGGTTTGCGGTTCTGCCAGTTTGTGTTCGTGGAATATGGACATGATGTAGACATGATGGAGAGTTTTTAAATATGTTTTGTAGAAAGTCTAGACTAGAGTCTAGATGTGTTAAAAATTAAAAATGTTAAATGTGAGATGAATTGGTGCAATTGAATTGGCTTGCATTGCCATATTGGCAATCCGATCATTTAACGATGAAGCTGGTGATCATGAACTGTCAATCTTTCGCCTGCACCTTCAATCATTTAATTTAGCCTTTCAGTTTCACTTCAGGCTTAAGGCTTTCACTTTTCAGCTTCTTTGAGATCATACCATTCAATTATCAGCTTCTTTCCCTTCATTTTTCAATAGGGGCGCTGGTCCAAGAATAAGGAATGTCTGCGTAAACGATCATTGTCATTATAGATGTGGTCACAGACGTGCCTTCAAAAATAAGGATCATTTTATGAGGACGATTCTTATTTCCAACCCGCGCGTTGGCGATAGATCCTCAGGGAGACGGACAACCCATAAAGTAGATGGTGATCTGGGGTAATTTATCACGAGGAAACTGTTTTCGCATTGCCCGCGCACAGATCGGGAACCCTACACACGCTGAGCACTGAAGAAAAAAACATCCACATGAATCCTTATTTTGTAGGACGCGATTTGTCCTCGTTTAAGAGGATATCTTTGTTTATGCCGACAATCCTCATTCTCAGAACAGTGCCCTCACTGTCTTCAGCCGTTAGTTCAGAAGTGTGCCCACTTTGGACCCTTGACTCCGGTGTGAAGAAATCCTAATGCTGTAATGGTTATGATTTACAAGTTATCTTTCTTACCTGTTTCGTGCCAATTTTCTTATCTTTTTCAGAGTATTTTTTCTAAAAATTGAAGACATCATAAACTTTCTCGCAAGTTTCACTGCAAACCGCTGCACATTACAAGTGCATACTGTACTAAGTTCTAACGGTAGGGTGCGGGGGGAATGCGTGCGTGAAGTTAGCGACTGTAATGATCGTCATCGCCATAATGTGAATTACATACATGAATTTTTATGTGGATCTGAGATTACGGTCGCTAACTTCATGCACGCGTGCGCACCCCCACCGTCTGTGCATGTGAAAGAATGAGGGTGGGTGTATGTTTGTTTTGATAAGTTTTACAATATTTGTTATAATTATTTGCTTGTACCGTATGTTTATTTTTGTACAGGGCCCCATTCTCACAAGCTTTGCTGTTCTTGGGGTCCTTCCGATTTTGCTGTTAATTTGTTATGTATTTTACTTTAAATTTTAATGGAAAAATAAATAAAATGAAATGAAAGTTTGCAGTGAAACCTGGGAGTGTATATTATAATGTCTTTGTTTGTTAGGGAAAATGATCCAAATAAAGATAAGAAAATTGACATGAAACAAGTAAGAAAGGTAATGAGTTTTGGTGTGTTAAAGGCCTCGTAGGGTATCTCCACGCCAGAGTCACCGGTCCAAATTATGGATACAGTTCTGAACTGGCACGCAATCATAGCATTAGTTTACTGTGAGCATCATTTTAATTCCGTCTTTCCTTGTACATGTTCGTGATTGCAGAATATGGCGCCACGTAAAGGGAAGGTGCAAAAGCCAGAAGTGCAGGTCAACCTTGGCCCCCAGGTTCCAGAAGGAGAAAATGTCTTTGGTGTTGCCCACATCTTCGCTTCATTCAACGACACCTTTGTCCATGTGACTGATCTGTCTGGCAGGTAAGCGAATGACACATTTATACCACCATAGAAAAAAAGAAAAGAAATGCCCTGGGCAGCAAAATGATGTGCATATAAATGGCATGGTGGCTTAAAAAGTAGTCGTTTTGTAAACTGGGTTCCCATTTTTGTTGAGCCTTGGATACAATCAGTATCCATCCTATACATTGGGGAGGGAAAAAAAGAAAAAGAAGAAGAAGAAGAAGAAGAAGAAGAAACCAATGGGCAGGGCTCAACACTTAACAGGTGCCCAGGACATATGAGTGCCCAAAATATTGTTCTAAATCTATACATAGAGGCTAATAACAGTAGTTTATGAATTGATGCTCAAAATTTGATTGTCTGGTCATTTCAGGGAAACCATCGCCAGGGTGACCGGTGGTATGAAGGTGAAGGCTGACCGTGACGAGGCCTCCCCGTACGCCGCCATGTTGGCTGCCCAGGACGTTGCCATCAAGTGCAAGGATCTCGGCATCACAGCTCTTCACATCAAGCTCAGGGCCACCGGAGGAAACAAGTAAGGAGTGAAGGACTCATCTGATCAGAAATACTTCGATTCAATAGTTTTATCTTTCCAAATCGTTACAAAATTTACATCGAATACAATTACAAACACAATTTATGTACAGTAACATAAGAGATAAGGGGGAAAAGGGGGAACTACGAAAAAGCAGAAAGCTTGTGGGTTGAAAAGTTCTCTCCGTACATTACATTATCATAATCAACCTTTACATAAATGAAAAGTAAGAAAATATTCTAAGGTTACACTTACATTGTACGAAACTGATAAATCACCACACACATTCATCACACAGGGAGGGAGGGGGGGGGGGGGGGGGGGGGTAGGGAATCTGTGCCATGGCTGTGACACATTTGCAAGCATTGTTCACTGTAAATCACAGGCAATGAAGAGGGAGGCTAGAAACAATGTTTCTCTTGTAGTCGTCATGAAGGTTATCAAAGTATTCATTTTATCAGAGATACCTGTATCCCATGGCTGTGTCACAATCTGGCAGCATGGGTTATTGTAAATCACAGGCAATGAAGAGAAAGGCTAGAAACGATGTTTCTCTTGTAATCATCATGAAGGTTATGAAGTATTTGGTCATAATTCAGCAAATCTTATTTTTTGATTCACTGTACTTAAATTAAAGTTGAATTGAATTGAATTGAATTTATTCTCCACATTCATAAAAACATGCTAAGTCAAAGATTTGTCATGATAGTAACCACCAGAAAGGCAGAAAGCATGTATCTTTTCACTACAGAACATTTGTTTACATTGCCAAGAAGCAAGTCTACTCAAAGCTTAGACATGGCTCCTTTTCTCAGAGATGTATCAATGAATGGAACAATCTCTCCTCTGTAGTTGTGGAGAGCACGTCACTTAATATCTTTAAATCAAATTTGTCTTAATTTTGGTTGTCAAGAAAAGATCAATTTGACCCGGAAGAGTCCTTCGTTTGTCCATGTTCGTCAACTGCTGTACAACGTCCCAATATGAGTTCTTCATCGTAATGTTAACGAGAGGCAATTAGTTTTTAACTTTAATGCCTACTTCTAAGGTATTGTTTGGTAGATTTGCAACCTTCAGCAGTTATTAAGAAGACCTTTTAACGTTGATCTTGTACCATTTGCTTGCAGGACCAAGACCCCTGGACCTGGTGCTCAGTCTGCCCTACGTGCCCTGGCTCGCTCTGGCATGAAGATTGGACGTATTGGTAAGATCATCTCTTGGTTTAACAATCCATGCTTCAAAATTGCTACAGTCAAACCTGCTTTAGTGACCACCAGTCTTCAAAGACCACTTTTTGTGTTTCCCTTAGGCGGTCGTTATAGACAGGTTTGACTGTACTTTGTCAATTTTTGCACTAATCAATCTGTTGGTACCTTTAAAAAAAATGGTTTGATCTATGACAAATTTGACTTGTGCGACCTCAAATTGGGCAGAGTTAACTGTGTATGTACTTGTGATTATCACTGAAGACTTCAAAGTTATGCTACGGTCACAAAAGGTTTGTACGAACAATAATTTCATAAGAATCTCCCTGTCTTTCAATTGTCTTCCCGAATTTCCATTGTCTGAAAATCGTTCGTACGGCGTTCGTAGCAGTTCGTAATGGCATTTGTGACCGAGGCTTAACTTGGAAGAAAACCATTAAGGTGAACAATCATATCACTTCGCATTTCCTGAAATTGTATACAAATGTGTACTTGAAGCTTTTCATTTATCAGGAACTGTTTGCATTGATCCTTACATTCTATAAAAGTAATAATGATAATGGGTTCTTGAACTTCTTGTATAGCGCTCATATCTGTCAGACTTGACACTCCTGGCGCTCCGCATTTTTTACTCCTGCTACGGCATGGCTGCCATTTTTACACTTTTCACCATTTGTACCCTTTTACATCACCTGGGTCGAATGTGGCAAATGTAGATTAATGTCTTGACAAAGGACATTAGTGCCGTGGCGGGACTCGAACCACGGACCATGTGACACCTGTAATACAGAACATGGAGAGGATGGGTTCAGGTTGACAATTCCCAGTGACAACCAAATAAGCTTATTGATAAATGGGGTTAGGTTGTTTACATAAAGGTATCGTGGTCAAGTGGATATGTTACTGGATTGTGGATCACAAGGCTCGCAGTTCGAGTCCCCGCTGCGGCACTAATGTCCTTTGGCAAGATATTAATCTACATTTGCCACACTCGACCCAGGTGAGGTAAATGGATACCTGGAAGGCTTATTCCCCGAAATGCACTGTGCGCTAATAACAGCTGCCGGAGCTAAAGCTAATAATGTCCAAAGCCCTTTGGAAGCGCTTACGGATGTTTTTTATGTGATATGGGCTATACAAGAACGGAATATTATTATTATTATTAAAGTAATCATTAGTCTTGTTTGGTAATTAATTATTTTTTTCTCACCCGTTCCCAATCCCTTTTTCGTCTCCTCTTCCACCTCTTACCCCTCCCTGTCCAACCCTCTTCTTCAATGTTTATGCATCACAGAGGATGTAACGCCAATCCCATCAGACAGTACTCGCAGGAAGGGAGGTCGCCGAGGTCGCCGTCTCTAGGCTCACAACACCAGCCACACGCCGTCGCCAATTGTAAAATATGTCTAGCAAACGCATCTCAGAATAAACACCCTGAGGACACACAAAAAAAGAATTCACCTTCTCAAGACTTGTATTTATTTTTTGTTTCTGTGTGAAAAAAACTTGCGCTGCATCTGAATCGACATTTTATGCAATTTTCCAACCATACTGTGTATCTAATCACAGAAAAACATCCAACATCTGTTTCTTGGCACAGTTAGAGAGGAAGCACATTGTTCGAAAGTCAGACTATTTTTGCCGTATAAATTTTCGCAGTTTCATACCTTGTGGTTGGAAGAATGTTGAAATAATGTCTTTAAAGAAGCAGCTTATTATTTGGAAACTTATCAGTGTTTTACAGAATAAAGGTGCTATCTTCTGTTTAGTAACAAGAAACAACATTAACGTAACATTTGTTGTGTTAAGACTTCTCAAGACAGGGCTTTAAAAAAAATTTAAAATAGCCATTTGATGCACCTCATACATGTACATAAATTATCTGTCTGAATTTGGTGATGAACATGACTTGGGCTCCATCGAGAAGGATTTATGGGCTGTACAGCCATGCTAAACTAAAACCCCAGTCTTGAAATTAGAGTACATGGGAGATCATGTAACCTGTAGTGGGTACATTTTGCTAAAGAAACATGGGGTACATTACGCTTTCAGGTGATAGAAAATGTATGTTCATGGTGTATTTGGGGAGAGAGGCGTGTTTTGAGTACAGTGGAACCTCTTTTATAAAGAGACCATGACAATTTCTTGTTATATTGGGGTAAATAAACAAGAATGTAAAGAGCTGGGGCCAGCAAAATCACCTTGTTATATCGGAGCTCTTTATAATGAGGTTCCACTGTATAGTGCATGTGTGCAGTGACCATCTTTGGTCCATATTCAAGAGGGCAGTGTCTCAAAAAACTGAGTTTGGTGTATCCCAAAATTCCCAATAAACAAATGTTAAAGATGTTCATCGTTGGTATATCGTCGCTCGTGAAGTAGGCAACTTGGCAAACACTGAGCCAATGGGTAATACGCTCCCGTACGAATGTATGCATAAAGGGAGTGTAATACCAGTTGGCCCAGTGTGCTGCCCTCTATATACCCACGTATGAGCAACTTTAATTTCATAAGACGCATCTCAATGGGATTATGTCCAAAAGCTTAGACTTGTGAACCTTCACAAAATGCCCAGTTTACTTCAGTGAGTAGATCAAGGTGAATATGAGAAAGGCTGCGTGAGATTACCAGTATCTGTGGTGTGTGAGATTACTGTACATTATCTGTCGGCCAGGGAGAATGAGCCTGTGATACACCCAAACAAAAAGTTTTTGAAGTTGCCAGTGTAACCATGGATATACATTTACTAAATAATACATTGTACATTCATGGTGTCGTAGACTGCTAGTTTACAGTGATGGAGTGTGCCTGTTGTGTGAGAGTGTGGTAACCTTGGTCCATCCATTCAGGAGTGCCATGAGAAGGGGAAGGGGGGGGGGGGGTACTAGTCCTTTTAGGTGGATGACATTTAAAAATTCACAAGGCCACTGGTTGAGGGTAGGGGTCATACCATCATCAATTTTCTTCCCAGATTTTTTCCCCATTCCCTTTTATTTTTTATTTCATGTAGCTATGCCACCAGTATAGAACAGCTGAAGCATGTGTACTCCAGTCCCCCTTTTTAGGGCTGGTATACTATAAAGCAAGCCAATGATGTGCATCTGAATAAGCAAACTTTTTTCACCCACCATATACGTACCTCATCCCCTAATAAGAGGAAGTCTACCCTAATATTTAGTTGGTTTTAATAAAAGCAGAAAGAAAGACGAACATAGTGAAAGTATGAGCAATATCGATTAAAAATAGGAACGTTTTCAAGTTTTCATCATTGAAAAACAAATCGGCAACACTGGCGTATCTTGAGAGCTCCTCTCCAATTAGCTCCCTAATTTTTTGTTAATAAACTTCATTTTTCTTGGTTATTGATGACGGTATACATTTGTATCATACAGGGGTTTAATACAAAAATATTTGCAATTATTGTATTTAGGGTGAATGTATGATCGAAAATTTTCTTAAGGAAAATTATGAATTTTTGAAGTTTTGTAGTACTTGGGGAAAACGGGATGGGGGCTCGGGGATACCAATATGAGTTTGATTGTTAGCACCTTCCAACATTCATAACTTTCTGATTTTCAATCGGTTTTTGCTCAAACTTTCACTGACCCGTTTCTATTTTCTGCTTCTATAAAAACAGTCCTGAAACAAACAGCCTGAAATTGACTTTATCCAACCACATACCTCAATCAACTCCAACCCGACACGGGTTTGCTGCCTGTAAACTATTCCGAACGTGCTTCAGCCTGAATTGAAATGTATAACTATACTTCTTCCCTCCGCGTACCCGATTACATGTATTGTGATGTCATAAAGGAACATGTTCGCGTGTTGTGACGTCATCATTACTATGCGCACTAAATACTTCTTCCCTCCGCGTACCCAATTACATGTATTGTGATGTCATAAAGGAGCATGTTCGCGTTTTGTGACGTCATCATTAGTATACGCACTAAATATAGCAACGCGCTTCCAACATGAGTTTACGTTCATAATTTATTTACAACAAGCTTATAAGCTTATATCAAACGCAAATGATAGGTCTATGGTTATCAGAAAACGCGGTGTTCTTGTGTTTGTCAAACGTTTGTTTAGTTTGTAAAGATTTAAATTGATTTAAGATAAATTTCACAAGATGTTTACCGCTGCTATAATTCTGATGGAAATGAAAAGACCAAGAGGACAACGGCGATGCATGCATGGAGTCGAGATAAGGTATTACACTTTACGTTTACCATATTTCACAGTATTTCATTATCTTAAATGGGTTCGTTGATGGAAAATGTATTTAATTCACTCTCTGTCTCAACAACAACAAAATGTACAATTATAAAAATAGACAATAATTTGTACTTTGAAGTCAATGGAAGTTTGCAAGATTACATTTTTTAATTTCCCCTTTTGCACCTTAACTCAGTAATTTTCACGATTGCAACTAGTTTCCAGAAATCTATTCATGGGAAATTTCAATACCATTTATGTATACGTCATAGAAATCAGGTTCCGATTTATGGAATACGTCATTGTGATGTACGCACATAACAGCAGGTGATGGAAGAGAGGCTAATAATATTGCCTTAGATTGATTTTTCGAAAGTCTTAGTAATCGGGATTTTGTCTCTCTCTCTCTCTCTCTCTCTCTCTCTTCCTCACTCCCTCTCTCCCCCCTCTCTCTCTCTCTCTCTCTCTCTTCCTCTCTCACTCTCTCCCTCTTTCTCTCTCTCTCTCTCTCTCTGTATATATATTTACATGTATATAAAATATGTAATACATATCCCTTCTCTCTGTCTCTCTCTCTCTCTCTCTCTCTCTCTATATATATATATAATGAATATATATATTATCTCTCTCTCTCTCTCTCTCTCTCTAATATATATATCAATATATATATTATATCTCACTCTCTCTCTCTCTCTCTCTCTCTCTCTAATATATATATCAATATATATATTATATCTCACTCTCTCTCTCTCTCTCTCTCTCTCTTTCTCTCTCTTTTACGACGCAGACCTCCTTATCAAAACAGTGACACCAAGTCTAGGATAAGAGATCTGCGTATACCGGGCGAGCATTACACTCCTTCTGCGTCTGACGGTAAGAAGACCCAAATACCTTCCGAACTCTTTTGCCAATCTTTGTATACCATGCACGACAAGGACCACATGGGATTCATCCTCGCCAACCGACCTCCCCCGAATATGATATCAACGACGAAATCGACGACGAAATCGACGACGAAATCGACGACGACCAGTACGGCTGTTGTCAAGCCCGTTCCAGTTAGTGAAGCGAAACTTCCGGAAAAATATAAAGATGTTATCAATGATTGGGAAAGGAGAGACGGTGACAAAGTCGTATTCGCATACGGGGATGACGAAAGTCGATGTCATCCTGACATGGGCCGACACGATGATATGACGAAGATTTCCGACGGTAAGCTCGGCCAAGACGGCGACCGTCTTGCGGCGTTGCAGGATGAGATCACGACTAAGAAAGAAAAGCGACGACTGGTCCTGGGGCAGATTCTCAAACTAGAGGATAAGAAGCGACGTTTTATCCGCACCACCCGACTCAACCAAGGAAAGGTCCGCGTGTCTCAGCGAAAACGAGAAAAACTCGAGAACCTCAGCCAAACCAAGATGGATTACCGCCTACAGCAGGTTCTGAACCTCGAGAAAGAGAAGGTCGGCATGGAAGAGAAGCTGGATAGATTCGAGGACATCGGCATCGCCCTCGCCATGCAGAAGGAGGAGAAGCACCGATGTCTGATGGAGACCATCGATAACGCACCGGCACTTTATCGCAAAGAAAACGAGATACTTGAAGAGCGCCATCAGCGTGAGGTTGTTCGCTACCAGGTTGTCATGGGACTGTTTCTGGCTGTTTTCGCTGTTCTCTTCATTACGTACTTCTGTAGGTTTGGCGTCAAGGAAGAGGAAAAGCCTGCTGGAGGTAGAGAAGGCTTTTTCTATTAAAGCATCGTGGAAATTCGTCAGAATACACGGCATTCATTGAATAGGTTTTAATCTAACAGAGTGTATGTTGTTGTTGTATGTTTTGTTTTGTTTTTTGGGGGGGGGGACGGGGAGGTGTGGTTTACAGTTACATAAATTGTGTAATTAAAGTTGAAAATGAATACAAAAATAAACTTAGGTTTATCTAAACTAAACTAACCACAGAAGCTGATTATATCCAACTGATACAAAAAAAATTGAGGATTTGCAAATACAGTGTCAGTAATGCATTATGCTGAAGACTTTCAATTATATTGTTAAAATGTGATTGCTAAATACCAAATTATTACCTAGATAGTTTCACGATCGTTTATCAGTGGTCGAGTTGAAAACAAGGACATGAACTTGATGATTTCATTCGTCAATCATAATTATTAGTAAACAGATAATTACTTTAGTGACATTAAAAATAAATTCACCTGGCATAATAACTTGAAAAAGAGCGCCAAATAAAATACTGTTATGAGGTGCCTTTATTACGTCCAATTGGTTTTGAAATGTTATTGGCTGTCTGGTCATTACATGTATTATGGTTAATACTAATTATCACATCTTTTTTCTTTTTTTTTCCATCGATTATATAGATCTGATATGAAGGATATGAAATCGGTCAGTTATTGTTGGAACGAGAGAAATAATAGGACAATGAACTGATCAAAGGATGCAAAAAGTTAAACGCGGCAAGGAAAGAGTACGGGTAGAGAAGAGAGAGAGAGAGAGAGAGAGAGAGAGAATGAAGAGAGAGAGAGAAAAAAAACTGGGAAACAGAGACAGATGGAGACCCCATCTCCAAACAACCAAATTTTACAAACTTTCAATAGGATGCAATATGCAGAAAACAATGATGCATTTAAAAGAGGATGGAGAAGAGTGGCGGTGCTGAGAAAATTGGCAATTATCTCGTGAGCTCTTGAATGGACACAGAATTCAGATGAACACAAAATTAGGATTATATATGCAATTTCATCCTTACAAACTACACCCTTCATCAATCTGTTGTCGGTCGGACTATATCTAGCGACCTATACGACCAGCGCCCAGTCATTGTCGTCTTGGGTTATGGAAGATTGAAGGGGGGGGGGGTGAGCATCGATGTGATTTGGTGAAAATAAAATACTAGAGAACAAGGCCATCAATATTATTGACTGAGTGGAAGGATCAAGGATCACTATCATCTTTTCACGTTGCCTACCCCTTCTTCTTCATCTACTTTTCTTGCTTTTCTCTTTTTTGTCTCTCACTCTCTTTCTCTCGCTCTCTTTTTTCCCTCCGCCATCTGGTTGTGGAGCACGAGGTCCACCCCATGCCCCCGGTACTTCGCCATTATAGTTACAAGTGCCATAACTTATGATGGGGTATGAATGTAGGAAAGTATGATAATGTGAATAAGGGACACTTTTGATGAGACATCAAATGTCAAAAAATACATTTAGCATATGATTATTACAATCTTGTTGTTAGGTTCAATGCGTGAATGCCTTGGCACTTTAGACGCTCTCAATATACCTATTCTTCCTTTTCTTCTGTTATATTCTTAACAATCTGATATTATATGAAAATCCCCAGGGCTCAGAGCCGTCGCCATCCAGCTCAAATGATCATTGTTATCCCAACAATAGAAAAGAGATTATTGGAAAGGGGTCTAACGGAATCAATTAAGGGGACAACGAGAGCTCTGTTGCCCTCACTTATCGCTTTAAAAAATGTGACATTTGTTTTTCATTCTTCGGCTGACAAACACACAGATTAGCGTGTTTTTATGAATGTGAGAATCAACCGAACACTCTTAATACCGAGGGGTATAAAGCGTTTTTTAATTCCTCAAGAAAAGAAGCGATTCTGTTCCTTAACCATAATCCATCAAAAAGGAGTTATAATACATGTCGATTCATTGTGAATGTACAACGAAAAGCTGGTTAGGCAATAAGGTATTTTCTTTCGCACTAATATGGCTTTCTTATTCTAAATACGAACATTCTTTCAATTATTCTGTATTCGGTGCCTTTTTTACAATCTGACCGCAAAATACGCGTCTGCTGTGGGGATAGAGCATGTCATTGTTGTTTTGGTTTGAAGGAGCTAAATTCTGAAGTCAACAGACGGCGACATATAAATTAACGTCAGAATGATTGACAACACACACAAAGGAGACTTTTTGGATCTAACGAATAGAGATGAATATTATTGGTGAATGAAATTGAAGAAGAGATGTATATAAATAGAAAGCGTCTCCCTTTCTACCAAAATATAATATTTGGCGTGGGGTATCAAAATACGCATGAAACGAGAGTGGGCAAGAAGATTAAAAATATCATAGTGTAGAATAGTTAAAGTTGGATGAGAAGAATGGAAATGGATATTAGAAGTTGTAAAACAGGAACAGAGAAGAGAAGAGTAAACAACACAGAAAAACAAACGAGAATGTTGAAAGTAGAAATAACTAGGTAGTTGGGTAGTTTCAGGTATATATTATGAGGCATTCCGATTTCATATCCAAATCATCATCGTATATTAACAAAGATGTGCTTTGTGACAAACTTCCCCTTCCCCCATCTAATTTCACCCGTATCCTTCATTGAGTATAATAATGAGCATGTGTTTCCATATTTTGAACCGCTATAATTACCTTCCTCGTACCCCCCCCCCTTCCCTTTCTCATAATATGTGTTCTTTTTCTATATCGCATATAGAATTCATCCATGGTCATGGCGATTAGTTCGATAAAAGCTTTCGTTTACTTTAGCTTTTTACCAACTCGAACTTGTTTGCTATTTCATTTTCCTTACCCCTCCAAGAAAAAGCTCTTTTGTAATTATATACTTTCCCGGATATATTCTCATTATACGTAAGAGTGTCGTCTGGAAAAAAGGTTAGCCACTGGTTTGTGGTTTCGCTCTTGGAATCATAACACGGTCGAAGCCACGCCTACTGCGTTGTTACTGACCAATCACGCGTGACTGTAGCATAACTAGTGACCAATCCCGTGACGAATCCGATTTACAACAAATTTCTTGCTTCTGTGTTCTTTTGTGTTCTTTCATCCCCGATCTGTCTCTCTCTCTCTTTCTTCAACTTCTTCTGCTGCTTCATCTTCTTCTTTTCATCATCTTCTTCTTCTTCTTCTTCATCTTCTTCTTCTTCTTTTTCCTCTTCTTCTTCTCCTTCTTCTTCTCTTCCTCCTCCTCCTACTTCTTCTTCTTACTTCTGTTTTTTAATTTCCTCTTCATTTGTCTTAATCTCGTCTTCGTTGTCATTCTCTTTCTTCTTATCATTGTTCTCCCCCCCCCCCCCCTCCCCCGTTATATCATGCTAAATTATGATTAATTATGATTTGCTTCCTATTCTAAGTTTACTGTCTTTGGGAGGAGCTTTAATCATTAAACAGAACTGTATTTTGTGAATGCTATTGGTATCAATGACGTGGGCACGATGCTTGTTTGTTACCAAAATATAACATTGTAGGAATGACGTCGAATAATTAGCAGACTTAAATATCAAAATATTTTTCGCGGAAGGGACGGGCGCGTAAATGTTAAATACAAAATTAGTCGATTTCTACTTTCGGGATACTGGTTGCTTCCGGACAAAAAAAGAGGACTGGAATGGAGGCCGAATGTATCATGAATAAAGGGGTTTTCCTCGGATGACACAATAACAAGTAAATAGTCCATTGGGCCAGTTTTGTCTCTCATCGAGGCTGGGAACATACTAATTACAATAGCCAGTGTTACAACAAAGAACATTTTGGCCAGTGCCTTATTTTTTCAATGCTGTCAGCACTATCTCGGGCGTTTAAAAGTTTTTGCGTTATCAAGATCAGGCAGATCCAGGAAAAAAGGGGGATTTCAGGACAAGTGTTTAAAAAAAAAAGGGGGGGAATGAACAAACCTCCATGTTTCTTTGCTGCTAAACAAAATAATAAAAGATAGAAAGTCTTATGAACCGAATTTAGTTTTCCAATCGATTTAACATTATCCTATTAAACATAACGATTATTTTTGCTTTTTGATATGTGTGCATGGTTTAGGGTTTTAGGAAAGGAGAGAGAGCTAGAGAGGAAGGGGGATAGAGGAAGGAAGGGAGAGAGAGAGAGAGAGAGAGAGAGAGAGAGAGAGAGAGAGAGAGAGAGAGAGCAATATTTAGGGGAATTGCATTGTCTATTTCCCCTTTTATATAATCAAGTTATAACCTCTGTTACGTATGTTAACATAGCGTAAATCTAGATCACATTTTAGCCACATTAGCATCAGCTGCCATATTAATGACACTATCCGGCTACCTTCACTTAATGAATTGTCTTTGATTAAAGTACATTTTACATCTTTTTTGAAAGTGGCGATGAGATAAGATGTAGATGAGGTAAACAACATCAAATCCATTAGTCCTGATTGAGGACATACTAGAGAAATACAGAGAGGGCATTTTACATTTTTATCAAACGTAACGTCGTGTCCTAATTTCTATATATTCTATATCCCCTATCTTATCTCTTTCCTTTAATGTTGTTCTCCGTTCCCCCCCCCCCCTCTCTCTCTCTCTTTCGATTTTACTCCACTTTCTTTTGTCGGTCACTTGACATCTCTCTTATTCTTTATTTCCTCTTTTCTTTTTGTCACTGTTTTTTTGTCTCTTCCTCCCGAACCCCCTTTCTCTCTTCAATCCGCTCCCGCCCTTGTTCTCTTCCCCTCCCCTCCCCCTCTCTCTATCTCATTTTTCTCTTCCTCCATCCCTCTCTCTCTCTCTCTCTCTCTCTCTCTCTCTCTCTCTCTTCCCCCATCTCCCTCCCCCTCTCTCTCTCTCTCTCTCTCTCTCTCGCTCTTTCTCTCCCAATCTCTCCCTCCACACACCAATCCTGCCTCTCATATATTAATAACATACCCGCATATTTCTCGTTTCCTGGAAACCCCTGATTGGCTCGCTTTCCCGCGCCCAGCCCGTCCAAAAATTTACCTCATGACCACGATCAAGTCTACCGTCTGTCCGAATTCATTAAAGAGTGACGGGTTTCTGTCTCCCTTCCCTATCTATCCTAAATAGCTCACTATACGCAGGAAATGGGTCAAATCGCAAGCTGTGATATAAAGGCGATGTAGGTCCATGAATGGATAAATGATTAAACACTTAAGTAAGTTAATAATGATTGTTAATCATGATTAATTATTCAGCATTTCCATCTGCTGAAACAAAATGACGTACTTTGGCATTATGATATCCGCTGTTTGTTTTTATACTTACAGAGGAAACCATTTTGAATTTCTTATGTTTTATAATCAATACAATTATATAGAATGAGTGGTGATGTTGGAAATTATTTGCCTATTACTAGTAGTACAAATACTAGGCCTACTATTGTTACTAGTACTACTTGTTACTACTACTACTACTATTAATAATAATATTATTAATGATAATACTAATTATGACAATAATATGAAAATTATAATGTTATAATGATAATAATAATGATAATAATAATAATAATAATAATAATAATAAATAATAATAAATAATAATAAATATTAATGATACTAGTGATTTGATTTGATGGCAATCGCAAATCTTATTCTACGATGACCAAAATGCCGAAAAATCTAGCCTATCACAATACTGCACGCTGTTGAAAAATAAAATAGTCAATTTGTATTCTTCATCGAGATTAATGAGTGTTTACACGTATACTGTTGCAGGTATATCTATAAGTAGTCGGAAGTGTAAAAGAAAATGTAATATGAAACTTTAGAGAAGGAATGAGATACAAGAGGGAGAGATGGAAGAAGGGAGAAAGAGAGAGAGAGAGAGAGAGAGATGGACATAGTTCATGGCGGAAGTGAGGTGTAAAGAAAAAGTAGTTAAATGAGAGGGAAGAATATTAGGGAGTCAGAGAGAGAGAGAGAGAGAGGGGGGGGGGGGAGGGGGACGGAAGTGTAAAAAGATATAGAGAGGGAGAGGGGGATCGGACAGAAATTGGAGAAATAAAGGGGCGAGAGAAGAAGAAGACGAAGAGACAGAGAGAGAGAGAGACAGAGAGAGAGAGAGAGAAAGGGGGGGGGGGGGAGTGACAAGTTCGAGGAGAGAGATATGGAAGAAAGAGTAAAAACATATGAAGATATATAAAATGAAGTGAAGATGGGGAGTGAGAGATAGAAAGAGAGGGGCCGGGAGGGAGAGATTCGATAGAAAAAGAAAGAGAAAGATAGGATGAGTGTAAAGTGGTCATGCTTCACTAAACTCATACTTAGTAAACTGTGTGATATCAAGAATCTCGGATTCAACGTGTTAAATTAAATAAGGCTGACATCACCTCGCATCGCGCATGGGCAAGTGCCGGATGCGGACAACAAACAAAATAAAAAAGAGTGAGGTAATTTCAGAGAGAAACGGGCAAAGAGTTAAAAGAGTGCTCGTCTGATTTCTTTAAAAAGTCATTACGTGATAAGCGAGTTTAGATTTAGAGATAGATTTAACAAATATTCCACTGCCCGTCTGCTAAAGATCGCCGGACCATTAGATGCATGTGGATGCAACAGTGCGTAAAACAGAGACCCGTAGCCACCGCCACCGCCGCTATAAAGTTTGGCAATCCGGCGCCTTTTCCCGCCATTCAAACTTCATCTGCGAGACCGACAGCATTGGCATGAACCTGGCAGCCGAGGCAACAAATTTAGAATGGGCCTCTTCATTATAGTCTGCAATTAATCGCTTGCCTTCACTTCAGTGAGCGACAGACCTAAAGTATGCAGCTCGCATTTACACACGGCAAATATTTACAAACTCCAAGCACCACGTGAAACTAGTAAACCACGCATCCGTTTGTTTAGTCACATGATTCATTCCCGTACTCCATTCTAGCATCGAGAGACAGAAAGAGACAATTTTATCTTGTTTTGAGCGGTGATATAGCTCTTTTGATTTTCTTTTTTATCGGAGCGGTCGGCGGTTTTCACAATGACTTTATCGCGGTACCGTCGGGTCGGATTTCCTCTCCTCTTCGTTCTACTCACGATATTCCCCGTGCTTGGAAGATATGTTTCGCCTAAAGATAGGATCCTAACGCAAAAGGTAAGTCACTTCCGCTTGATATCTAAATTCATAAAATTTGCTTTTTCATGATGATGCTCTTTTTGTACTCACTAAGTTATGTCAACGTTATATCTCATCCTTCCTGAGAAAGAATGATTTGGTATTAAGAGTTATCAGAACTTCAGAGGTATTATTGTAGAGCCCCGAGAAGGAGTCTGATGGTAATGTAGAAATAATTATATTCGCATTTTTTTGTAATATTAATAATAATTATACATCTTGTGTATTTACGTATTATTATTCTTTTGTCGTGTGTTGGCACTTTTACTCGTCAGTTAATTTTCAAGAAACATTTCGGCACATTTTGTTGTCTATCCGCCCGCCTCCCCCCCCCCCCCCCCATATAGGCCCTAGACATTAAAATGTAACCATGGTGCCCCAGAATGTGCAATGCCATGTCGGGGAAGTTAGAGCAATGGCATGGTGACTGACTGACACTTTTATTCAAATATGCGTTTGGGGCCCGTAAAAAAAAACCTGGAAAACGTCCCCCCCCCCCCCAAAAAAAAAAAAAGGCGTGATAATCTTGTATACAGGGTCAGGATGGTCTGTAAATAATAATCTTTTCCATTTATCTGTACAATGAACACATTTAATAACAGTTTTTCTTAAAATACGGTTAATCTTGTGTTTATTTACTTGTCAAAATTTGCTCTATCATTTAAATGCAACTTATAATAAATCATATAAATAGTTTTTTTTGTGAAGGGAAAGCAAAGTTCTTGTAAATGTTTTCTGGTGATTATGTCAAATGTTGTAAATATCCAGGTGATTCGAAGCGAAAATACAGAGAACTGTTAGAGAAAATTAATGTTCCATGAATACACTTTTTTTTTTCTCGGTCAAGGGAAGGCAATATAAACTATACATCCTGAAAACTTGTCAAATACCATTAATAACTTGTTCACTTTGACATTTGTCATAATTTTAAATAGGTACAGATGGCTTTATTCTTCATATCAATGGTCAGAATTGTTTCCTGTCAATTGTCACAGGTTGAAATTCAAACCCAAATCTCTTTTATATTATACTTCATCATTATAAACCCCCTTTCCTGGAAAATGTAAGCTATCTTGTGGCTCGTTCAATGTACTATGATCTCCGCGGTTGTCAGTTTCTGGATCGGTCTACCGACGAAACCACTGACTTGGGTACCCCGTGGGTCAGGGGGAGTAGCTATAGAGATACTGACAGTGAAACCGTGCGGCTTATTAATCAAAAAGTATATTACCCCATCAGAAATGTGCAATTTTGTAATCTTTCCATTAAGCACTTTCCTTAAATAGCTCAGAACTATGAAGACCAATGAATATTAAAGGAATGCTTCTCCGCCAGTGGTTGGCGCTCGGCGTACTGGATGCGAGGGTAAGAAAGCAGGCCATTGTGGTCATAACTCCCGTTGTGGGACTACTACGATGAAAGTGCGTTATTGAGGTGAACTCCTCATGAAAATGCGATATGTTGGGGTGCAATGGAGACAGAAATAACTGGCGGCGAATCAAGGGAGAAGCTTAAAATCGGTCACCTTTATAATTTTGTATATTTGGATGAGAGGATTCGGTCTTTGGGTAGAACCCCCCATCGTCTTACATTATAGTGATGGATAGATGCACAGACTAGACCTATTAATAGCACTTGGCTACACATCAGTCATGTCAAGCCGTCTCATAAGAAAACTCTTCCAAATTAATTTGTCTGTAATGTCTGTGGTATATTTGGGGTTATTCGTGGTCATGATCATCTGCTCTGAGAAATAACGTACTCTATCATCAGCGTACAGGAGTGTAGATCCACTCTTTAGGAGTCGTATTTGGGTCACTTCGTTTTGTAGTGAAAACCAACGCCATGTGTAGTAGAATTCGTTCTTAACATAGCAATTAAACCTATAATTACAAGGAAGATATTCTGACGAAAAGCATTAGACCTATCCATATTATCATGCATTTTATTCCAATTCCATTATTGTTTGGTAAAATCATTAAAACAAAAAATCAAGATTCGAATTATTTTATCAAACACCAAAACGCCTGTCAGAGTTGCTGAATTTCTGTTACGCGAGTTTGCATTTTTATTTCGAGGGGCTTCATAATAAATAGTTCCACCTCATCATCTCATCCATGAAGATACAATAAAACACTACAATGCACCGGTGACTTGTGTATAAAGAAGTTTGGGGAGAGAACTGGCGAAGCTTGATCCCTGTAGGGTGTCTTGAACCATTGGACTAGATCACAAGTGGTTACAATAGTATCAGTTAGAGGCCTATGGTAACAGCATGGGGAAGACAGAAGTGCAAAAGAGGTCGTCTGGTTGTGATAAAAGTTATATATTCCAATTCCACATTCCACAATCGCTTAATGAACTTCTTATCATAGTATAGCTTGAGCAAAGTGAGAAGGAACAGAGATTGATGGTGAAGGAAGAAGAAATCACAAAGATATGTAAAAAATGATAATAATGATCACGATAATGATTATGATTATCATATTTATATCAATGATATCTATGATAATAATTGCATATTATTATCATGGCGCGTATTCAACGTCAGACTGGAATTAAAAAGAAAACATCGAGGAGTGTTTTTGTGATCATTTTAATAACTTTTAAAGTTTACCGAAACGAGAAAGAGAAAAGGCGAACTCATTGTGGCATCTTAGTAACCTATTGACTGTTTGATCCTCAATACAAGATTGTATGGTACAGGAAATTTCTCCTTAGTTGAAAGTTCATATGTGGGATATCGCCAGTAGTTCACCCCCTTGGTGAATGGCAGTTCATAATACCTAATCATCGGATATAACACCTATCTGATAGTGGATCAAGTTGGAAGGTGTCCAAAAGTATTCATTCGAAATCTTTATGATATGGTCTAGTCAAGTCCTGGTCAAACTCTTGGTCTTTTGTGTTGGAAGCTTCTTCCTTACAACTCATCCCAAGAAAACTATTGATGAACAGATCTCGTTAAAAAATGTATAAAATCAAGTGAGTATTGCATTTCAAAGTTTCCCCTATAGCGGAAATCATAAAAGTTCGTTTGTATTCGAGAGTATACTCCGACTGATTGGATTTTGCTGTCAAAGTGTGACCCACAAAACGAAAAGACCACAAATTCAGAAATACTAAAGTCGCGGTTAATATGGGCAATGTATACACACTAGTATAAGACCTGTGACTGTTTGGAAATCCCGTGGCGAGGTAGCTAGTCGGGAGTTAAATTTCACGCCTGGTGATTTTGACTAGGGTTTATTGTCATGTTCACATGCATAGTTGTCTAGAAAGGCAGACTGTTGAGTGTTGAAAGGAAAATATTTCTCTAACAATTGAATTATTTTGTTAGGTGTCGTAATAGAGAGGGTTGATCATTCTTCTTAGGATAAGAGAGAGAGAGAGAGAGAGAGAAAGATAAAAAAAAGAGAGAGAGAGAGAGAGAGAGAGAGGTTGAGGGGGGGGGGGGGGGAGGGGGACAAACTTGGTTGGAGACCGAGCAGTACTTGTGTCCCTATAACTATAAAAAAAAAAAGCCACGATAGTCCATTCTGCTTCTATCTACAAAGGGATTTAATTAATAGTACAAACGTCCCTTGTTTGATTAGGGAAACACAGCACATAATGGGAATATTATAAAATGATACACAATCAAGTAAATAGAAATATTGGGGCGTGGCTATACATGACCCCTACCCCTTCCTCCAAAATCAATATCAGTGCACTGTGTACTAACCCAGACTCTCAATGATGTGTAAAATGTGCGTTAGGACAGACTAGTATTATATTGAGGGTATGAATATGATTGGCAGTATAATAGTGCACATCATACCTCTGTGATTCATATTACGTCTGCTTTGTCGATTCCCAATTCAGAATAGAGACAGAGAGTTTATTTGTAAAAGTTGAGTTCACGTTAAGATGCTCTAACATGAACAAATTTATTGAAAAATAACAATGAATCTAAATGATTCCTAAATAGTTTGTGATTGCACAGATAAAGTAATTATTGCAAACAAGTTACAACTGACACATAATTATAACGACAGATCTTATGAATGAATTTGATATTATTTTATTGGTCAACATTGATTCTTTGTTTCGATTTGACTTGTATCGGTATGATTTTTGTGGGGGGGGGGGGGGGTGGTTGAAACATAGACTTAGATTATACGAAAACCTTGCATGTGCCCCTGAATACACCTCCCTATACTGGCTATAACATTCACCCTGAATGTAACGCGTTTCTAGATATTACCTTTCAAATGTAAAATGGGTATTTAATACACGCTCGAGATGACACAGGGAGCGAGAGGGGCAATTCATTCAATGTCCATGATAATGTGTTGATGAATCAAACCGTGTAACAAAGTGACAGCAAGTTAAAGACATACTGCCTCGGGGTCTCGATCTAACAAGATATTAATCATAAGGAGAAGTTTAAAGGACTCCTCCTATATATTTTTTTCAATGATTTTTGTTGCTGTTGTTGTTATCATTATTTACGATATTGATGTAGTTCTCGACACAACAACAGAGAGTAATCAACATTTGCTTTATATCGTCTTTTGTTCTATTCATACCTGTCTTTTTTGCAACTTTTTTCTCTCTGGAGTGTGTGTACTTCTCCCCTGTCTACTTTCTTTTTCTGTCTTTATCTTTATTCGATATATTATTGTTATGCCTTACAATGTTGACAAATGCACCTATTCCGGAAGAAAGTGAGTAAGCAAGCAAATACAACAGAAACGAAAAAAAAAACAAACAGATAAACAAACATACAACTAAATAAAACAAGCAGGACAAGAAAAATTAATTTAAAAAAAACGAGACAAAACATAACCATCACCAATAACAAAACAGTGACCAGTTGATATTGGTTTGATGATCAAGCTCGCTTATTGTTGTGAAGTAGCCTAACTCCGATATTAACATCTTTACTTACATACATTTCCTAAATACCCATAATTTTTTTCAATTACTTTTGGTAT